TCCATCTGTGGTAAGAGCAGCCAGCCCTGCTCAGCCCTGAGGGAGCATCTGTGCCGTATGATGAAGGACTGGGGATTCACTGCATTTCTGGACTGAGGTCTAATGATTTTCTGGCACATTTTCCTAATAACCATGGCAACTCTTGAGCTGCAATATCTCTTGAGCCCACATTCCTGCATCTATTCTCTGAACAGGATGCCAACACAGCAAACAACCAACTCAGCTTCAGGACTGGAGCTAGTATTTCTAGTCACAAAATCTGGCATTCGAGCCAACTGCTGAATGGGAAATCCCAGAGCTTCTCAACTCTGTGGCCAAATTCTCAGCATCTGCCTATTTGTTTTCCTACCCATTTCATTTATTTTTAAATGAGAGGCTGACTGAATTTTCCCCAGGCTATGCCTTCCATTGTTGGCCCACACACAGACAGACCCACACACCCACTATTTCAACTAACACAAAGGAAGAGAAAACAAAGTGCAGAACTTATTAGTGCTTAGCAAAATGCACACTGAGATTCAAATGTATTTTGAGATTAGCATAGCTATGATGCAATATATTTTGTTTTTGAACAACAGAGGTACAGAGAGCTGCATGTAATGAAAACAATGTTTTAGAAACAGTGAGGGGCTTGGACTTCCTAGTCCTAAGTTTATCACCTCCCTCCAGACTTGCTTCAGATCAACAGTGTCTCTCCTTCAATTTCCTTACTCTGACAGTGTAAGTAAGCAAAAATGCTGATGAAATAAATTCAAAAGCATCCCACTGAACACTTTGCCAGCTTCCAGCTATCTGTGGCTTATGAATTCATGTACACCTTACTACCTTTTTCCTTTACATTTGACCTCTACAGTATCTAATAACATCCAATTTGATGTTGTGTAAGATTTGAACTTGTAAGAAACAAGTTTATTCTTGTTTATTATTCACCTCCTTCCTGTTGCTCCTCATCACACAACCCTGCCCAGCGCTCTCTTCTCCAGGCTGAAGAGTCCAAATCTATTTCATCTCTCCTTGCAGAGAAGAGTTTGTAGCACACCAAAGAACAGAGTGTCAGTTTTAGAAACAGCCATGAGGGCTGAATGACAGACTTACAGACTGTGGGGTCAGAGCTGCACGCAGCACCTCCTCTGAGTGGCACAGAGAGGACACACTTCCTGCAAAGGGCTCGTCAGACCAAGAAGGAGGTCAGTGAATACATCCAACTGGATATATTACTAAAATAGAGGGTTGTGAAGGGATCCATACAGAGCTGTTATCTTGATTTACTGGGGAGGAAGATGTTTCTGTAGTTCTCCAGTGGCTCAGTCCCTGCCTTCTCTAAACTTCTCACTCTCATTTACACCACATCTGAAAGAGAGACAGGCACCTCCAAGAAGTCAGAGGACCTCAAGAAAACAGAGGTACAAGTAGAAGGGAATCAAGTTATTTTTCATCAAAGGAAATAATACCACTAACCATAATGGAGTTTAACCACTATTCTAGACATAATGCAATTTGCAAAAGAGATATTTCAAAAAACCCCAGAGCAAAAAATTCTGCAATCACATAGCTTTCTTCTGAGTTGTAAAAATGAATAATGTGTTTTCTAGAAGCAAAAAGAGCAAATCAGGACATATGAATAGGATCTGCTGCTCCTTCTCTCCCATTTCATATATACCTGTATCTACCTATATATATCAGGTTATTAAAAGAAAAAAAACAACAAACATAACTTTGGGCTACACAATCCTTACCCACAGCTGCAGCACTCCCTTAGATTGTCTAAGAGATGTATTGACTAAAATGAGCTTTCTCACAGCTCTGACACTTTGTGAGCTGAATTCCTGAAAGATTTTTCCCATGTTATTGGTGCGGGTTTTTTGGTGTTTTGTTTTTTCTTTCTTTTTTTTTTTTTCATTTATGCACTGTTATTGTTGACATTTCAGAACCCCCAAAGCAAGAACAAGGCACAGCTGTTCCACCTGCAGGAAAAGCCTGAGCGAATGCAACAGCGCTGGAAGGAACTTGGAAGATCACTCAGTCCATGCTCACAGCCCAAGGCAGGATCACCCACACCCATGTTCATTATTTCTCACAGACTCATCTAACTTTTCCTAAAGCCTTCCAGTGACAGAGGCTTGACAGTCACCTCAGGCAGTCTGTGCCACAGCAGCTCTCCTACACATCCTGGGCAGAAAGGATGAATATTCCCATCAGTGCTGCAGCAGCCTTTGAGTACCTAAGACCATTATGCTGCCTCCCCTCAGCAATCTTTTCTGGCTAAAGAATTCAGTCAATCTGAGCTTTGTCAGGTTTGGTGCTCCCACTTCCCTGGAGAGCCTGTTCCAGTGTCCAAAAACCCTCTGGGTGAAGAACTTTTTTCTAACTTCCAAGCTAAACCTCCTCTGATATAACTGCAGGCCATTCCCTCAGGTCCTGTCACAGATCACCACCAAGAGAAGAGATCAGCACTGGCCCCTCCTCTTGCCCTCACTAGCAGTTGTAACCAAGTGAGGTCTCCCTGCAGTCTTAGGCTGAACAGACCAAGCGCCCTCAGCTGCTCCTCACACAGCTTCCCTTCAAGGCCCTTCACCATCTTCCTTGCCCCTTTGGATGCTCTCTAATAGTTTAATATTTTTCTCACATTGTGGTGCCCAAAGCTGTCCCCAGAATTGCAGGTGAGGCTGCCCCAGTGCAGAGCAGAGCAGGACAATCCCCTCCCTTGCCTGGCTGTCCATGTTCTTCCTGATGCTCACGACAGGCTTGGCCCTCCTGGCTGCCAGGACACTGCTGACTTGTGTGTAATTTGCCATCGACCAGGATCCCCCAGGACTCCCTTTCCGTGACACTGGTCTCCAGCATCTCATTCCCCAGTTTGTCCATACAGCCAGGGCTGCCCAATCCCAGGTGCAGAATCCAGCATTTCCCCTTGCTGAACTTCATCCAAGTGGTGATTGCCCGGCCCTCTCATCTGTCCAGGCTCTCTGCAGGGCCTCTCTGCCTTTGAGGGGGTCAACAGCTCCTCCCAGTTTCGTATCGTGTGCGAACCTGCCCAGAATCCCTCCAGTCTTACGTCCAAATCATTGATGAAGATGTTCAAGAGTACAGGGCCAGCATGCCATTGGATTTCCTGGCCACCTGGGCACCCTCTGGCTTGTCCAGCCTCTGTCAATCAGCACCCCCAGGTCCTTCATTACATCACTCATAACTTTTTTTTTGTCTGTGTGATCGATATATTCAACAAGAAAGGTGGCATTACGTAAAACAATCCCACTCTTATTATGTTTGGATCTTTGCCCTAAATAATTTTATGGTATGATCACAGACTAATGCTTGTCATCCTTGGGACACTAAAGAGAAGGAAGATATTTTAATTAGTATCACAAAGTTGCACTTAGCCTGGACTTGGTGACAATGAAGGCACTGGAGATGTCCCACAGCACCTCTGCATCATACCAGAAGAGCTTTCTTTTTTTTCAACACATATGCTTGCCATCCTTGGGACACTAAAGAGAAGGAAGATATTTTAATTAGTATCACAAAGTTGCACTTAGCCTGGACTTGGTGACAATGAAGGCAATATGTCCCACAGCACCTCTGCATCATACCAGAAGAGCTTTCTTTTTTTTCAACATACAATCACACAAAATGCTTTTAAATGGTCCACTCAATATTAAATAATCTGTTTTTCCAAGAAAACAGCTAAATTCTCTCTCTCAGTTTCTATGAAAGATTGCATTTTGCTTCCTTTTGTAAAAATAGCTGCATCTTTTTCCATTTCGTCTTGGAATGGTAGAATTCCATCCACCACTTCAGACACACCAAGTGTGAAATTCACATTCCCCTGAATTCAGCCATCATTAAATGTGGAAAGAGATTTGATCAGCCAAGTCAGTAATTTCTCCATATAAATTAACAAAAATGAAAATACAAAGATGAGCGCCAAGGTCTTGCATCACAAATGTTTTGCCCACTTATAAATAGACTGCAGCTCCAGCAGGCTGATCCCTCGTACAAGAAGGAATAATGGAAATCAGCCATCAACTTCATCTAAGTAACATGTTTGAAAAAAAACCCAAAACATTAAATGCTTACAGTCCTAATGCATTTCCAAAATATCCTTATTACTCCCCTAACTATTTGAAGCACATGAAATTTCCAGCAGTTTCATTTCAGAATCTATTAGGTAGATTAAAAAAAACCAAACCAAAACAACAACAACAACAAAAAAAAACCACAAACAAAAAAACACCCAAAAAAAAACCCAACAAAAAAAATTTTACACAACCTCCTATTCCACATACTAACTTCAAAGTATATATTTGCATGTATGATATATATGATTCAGAAATATTTAGACACTAAAAATACACACTAAGCAAAAGTGATTTACAAAATACTCTAAAAAAATTGGTTTCTTATTTCCTCTCTGCTGTTTATGGGAAAGTCTGGGGTTCCTGTCAGGTTTCATCTTAGGAGGGATGTGGATCACTATTTAAACTGAAATGTTTCTCTGGCAGATGCAGACATTCCATCATTATATTGTCCCACTGAATGGGCAGTATTGCACATGAGATGTACCATATCCTCATCATGAACGTGCTGTAATGGCTAACAAGAAAAATTGTAGATGATTTATTTAAGCAGAACCAGCTTATATATTAAGGGTATGACATGTCCTGATGAATCAACTAATTTTTCCTTCTCTTTCATTTCCTCTAGAACTTCAAAGCAATCAAATGTTGTTTATGCATAAAATTTAATCCTTTCACCAATCTATAGTTTGATTGAATTTGCATACCCTATTTCCTACAAGTCAATGTGAAGAGAGCCTCATGTAATTGAAACCATTTCCCCTCCAGTCCTCCTATCTTTGTTGCAGTATTTTCTATTAGTAGCTCTATTATGCCTAATATCTGTAATGTTGGCAGATCAGAATTTTCACTTAATGTAACCTGTATTTATAAACCACTAGGATGAAAAAAGAACAAATACAAGAAAGAGGAAATAATAATTACCTGTCTTTGATGCCACACAGATCAATGTGTAAATCACTAAAATTCCCCAGGGAGCCTTGCTGAACTAAAATAAGGTCCTTGGGCTGGTTATCAATAAAGATGAGCCTCATACAGCCTTGAAAAGCAGTAATGGGATTTAAACACTGGGAATCGGTGAAATTGTCAGGGCACCCTGTGGGAAAAAGAGAAGAGGCAGAGAAGAATATTGGAATGTTCAACCATTTCTGCTGGGATTTCCTGATGCAAGAACTCAGAGGCTTATTATTCCAAATGTTTTTATTCCTTTTGCTATGCAACCTCCTGTGTTATAAATCCTCCAGTTAGGGGAAAAAAGAAAAAAAGAGAGAAGCCAGCCACTGAGAGTATCACAATATGAGGTTTTCACCTTGTGAAATGCACCTGTGTTGAGCAAAATCAAAATGGGATTTTTTTCATCTTCTTTAAACTGCACAGTTGATAGCAACTAAAACATGAGTTGTTAAAAGAGTTGTACAAAATGTAAAATCATTATGGGTTAAATTCTGCTGCTGAAGCAATGTGCAGATGAAATCTTGTGGGCAGCAAGAAAGCCATTTGTATCTGAGCCTCCCAGCACTTAGACAGCTCTGAGATCCAAGTTCCTGTACATCCTCACTTAGTGCTGTATCCACAGGGTTCATCAAGATCAGAACCATACTACAGTAAGCATTACACAGAAATATATTAGATTAAAAGATAGTTAATGACATTAATGTTTGCACTCCACTCCAAAAAGCAGAAGATAGTCTTTTTCAAGACTTTTTTCCATTTTCTAAATTGAGCTAAACCTATCTTCATTTTCCACAAGAGCTTTGTACATAAATACCTTTGAAGATTTGAGCTGTATGTCACCTAAGCTCCAAGAAGTCACTGAGCCTGATCAGAACAGTGGTATCTACAGGAATGCTGATAACACTAATAATTCTAAGGCCTTTTAACCAGGAAAAAACAAAACATAACAAAACAAAAAACACTAATGGTTAATATAGCTTTGTAGATTTTGCATATATTGTCAGAAAGATGTAGGTACTCATTAACTACCACTACCAGTAGTCCACTTTTGCTTGACCAACACCCTTTACCCTGTCCATGGTGCTGAATGCACTGCAATTTAATCAGTCATTATCTTTGCTCTTAGCTGCAAACAGTAAGAGCTGAGAGAACTCTGTGATGAGCATCTGAGGATCTGCATCACAAAAACTCCCCCGAAACAACCTACCTCCAAAATAGTAGCTGTTCCCAGAGTAGATCCGTGAGACAGTGGTTGCGTGGCTGGCGGTGGCAGCGTCGCTATCCAGCGTCAGGGTAATGCGATGCCTTCTGGCATTGATGTTAACAGAATGCCAGAGCCCATCGTGGAGATTGGTGCCTGGCAAAAAACATGGAAAAAGTGGAAAAAAAGACATGCAGGAGACAATTGTGTTCTTCAAATTTCCTCTTGCTTCCAACTTGTGACTGCAACTGTGCAGCTGAGTGAGAACTGCAGCTGAAAAGAATTCATTACCTCTGGAAACAAGCTGGCATAGAAGAAAGGGCCCAGGAAAAGGGAAGTTTTGAGAGTATTTAAGTAGGTCATCTCACTTTTTAATCTAAGCTTGTACTACTGCAGGCACTCATCAAGCTAGTTCAATCCTTCACCTTTCTGGTAGCATACTGTTACCATTTTGGGGGTGTTTATGTCTATCTTCAGTCTGCTGGTAAATGCTGACAAGTCCAAAAGTGTGCAGAGATCTGTACTGAGCTTCTGGTACTAAACATATGCGTGAGATTGCAGAGGATTAGATTCAGTGAGACATTCATAGGCTGTTCTCAGACTCCAACCTGAAACCTGACTGACTCCAACAGGTATCAGTAGGATTTATGTTTCTTAAAACCTTCCAGTACCAATGCAGCACATGGTATTATTAATGGATGTATAGAAGTTGGATTTCTACATGGATGTTCTGAGAACTGGGATTGTTGCTCTGACCAAGAACCTCTAAAGTTTGAGGGATATACTGGGCAGTCTCCTTCTAGACACTCACGTGAAGTGGGAAATTACCTGTCTTGTTTCCTTATTCTGAAAATCAGTGCTGCATTGTGTGGCTCTTGAAATACAGAGAGCTACAAAGAAACGCCACACCCTCTATTCTGACAGCCATGAGAATCAGTGGGCAAGCTTGTGAACCCACACACAGAGGTGCAGATCATAAGCAACCTAATTACAGTTCAAAATATGCTACCATCAGGCTGAAGTGACTGAGATCAGGTACAGACAACTAATATTTACTCCCCACCCTACCAGAATATTTTTCTTAATGTTGCTTTCAGAGAAAACAAATAAGCACTTAGGAACACAAAGAGGTGTGAGAACCGTTCAAAACAAAATTTAAAAGAAAGTGGGTGTTAGGTGTGTATAATGCCATTTCATCATGAATTTCCAAATGAAATTTGCTCAGTAATGGCTGTTAACACATGCACAATTACCACAGAATTAGAGGCTGGTTTTCCAGCAAAAAATGGATTTTCAACTTGAAGTGCAGTTTGAAGTGGAATATGTTGTTGAGGTTTGAAACAATTACAAGAGGAAATAGATCCCATTTGGGGGAAAACCAGGTCCATTCTTGAACAAGCATGAGTTTATTGTGAGTATCTGACATCTGCAGAACATGGCACAAGCACCTTCTGCATATTTCCCATGTACAAGTAGGCAGTTTAGTATGTTTGGATAGGCTGGACTCAGGTTCATTATTTCAGAACTACATAAAAACAAACGCACCAACCTAATATTGACATTGTCTCAGCTTTGTCAACAATTTCATTAGAACTGCAATAAAGGCTGGAATCTCAGTTTTCAGTGTTCAATTGCAGCAAGCTATGGCTGTAGCAATCTACATGAGTAAGGATAGATGCAGGGCTGCTTCATTTTCAATCATAAAGGGGAATGAAACATGCATACAGAACAGCTCTGCTTTGACAACTCTGTCAGTTTTTTATCTCTGCTTCTTTTAATAGATACATCTGCCCCCTTTTAGTCTGTACAGGGAATATATTAATATTACATGTTTTTAAACATCTAATGTTTTAGAAAATACAATATTATTGTTGTTATTATCATCATCATTATTATTATTATTCTTCCCCCACATTTTAAATCAGGGAGCCCTATTTTACCCTCTTGCATCCCACCAGCTTCATTACACAAAACAACTTGCAAAGTGGCTAAGAAAGCCTAACAGGGAGTGTAAGGAGGGGAAGCCCATGGTCAGCCAGTCCTCTGAGTGTAGCATAAAGGGGGAGTCCAAAGCTGCAGTCAGAGAAAGAAAATCAGCTCTGAGCCGCCCTTAACTTCTGCTGGGGAAAGATGCTGTGGCTGAGCTGGCTCCCAGCTGATTTCAGCACAGTCTGGAGATGGGAACAGAAAGGTCTTCGTGCGACCTGACTGAAGAAAATTGAGTGTGACTGCTTAAGAACATAGGTGCTCAGCTAACTGTCAGTGAGATTGAGTCTGGAGATTTCAGGATGCCAATTTTCCAAGCTTAGATCAAGCTGTACAGAGCAGCTTTACCACTGGAAAGCAAGAGAAGATTTAGAAAAGAAGGGAAGATTGGGTGTTTCCTTATTGCTTGATCCTTTCATCCCATGGAGCTGAACCCTTGTGTTTTAGGAGGAGACAAGTGAAAGTAAACAAAAAATAAACACCTTCAGAGATTTCCACTGGGTTCTCAGTCTCCTTTTGAATAAGTAGCATCAATCTCCCACCATGGAGGTAAACCAAGAGATGTCCTGAGTTTTCAGAGAGCTCAGTGAACAGAAGTAAACCATCTTTATTCCATGTTCGGAACTGGAAGCTGACTGACAAACCGTCAATTTGAGCAGTGCCAGGCAGCAGCAAGTAACTTCGACTGGAGCTCACAAAGGTGATAGGAACAATTTGTGGTTCTGAGCAAGAAAAGGTCACATTCCCCTGCAAAAAAATAAAAAAATCAAACATAATCAGCATGATGTTTTTTCAGTCATCCCAAAATATCTTCAATTAAATAAGCTCATTGGATTTCTAATTGCCCTCAAGGCTGAAATACATATTATTATTCAGACATATATCTTTGGAATTCAATAGGAAATGTATCTGTCCATGTTGGGAAAACATATATAACTTGAAAATTTTGTTTTTATCCCAAATGCTAAGGATCAAAAATCAAAACCTTACTTTTTAGCAGGACCTAAATGTAACAAAATGTTATCAATGCCACACCTTAGTTGATTATCTCAGTGACACAGCCCTTAAATCAATTTGTAATTTGCCCAGAAGAGAAGAACATTTACTCAAAGCAGTCTGCAGAATCTGCACCAGCTTGTATCACTGTAGCTGATGGAAGAAATTACTCCATCAGTTTGCTCAGCCACTGTAGATTACCTCACCAGGTTAAACAGGCCATGGTGCAAAAACTTAACAATATACAAAGACAGGAGGCACTTAAGGAGCCACGTCTTTCAAAGCCACTCCAGGAGAAGATTGTTGCAGCCAGCTGCTTTGAACATGGCTGCTTTGTAAAATACCAGCTGTAATCTGATAAAAACATCGGAGTGTAAGACTTTCTCCACAATAACACTTTTCATCAGAGCCTGAACCTCACTCTTAACTGGATAATTATAACGAGCAGCACTTGATGGATGTGCGGGAAGTTGCACAGTGCTTGGGGAATTCCTGCCTGCAATCTCAGACAGATGATGGAACTGCTCCCTATCACTCTCAAATGTCTTTCCAGTCTTTATTTTTTAAACAGAAAATAAGGTGCCAGAAATAGACAAAGTTATCACTGGATGAAACAATCCTTGATAGATACTTATCTGTATGGAGCTATCTGCATAGTACCTGTCAAGTTCAGAATGCTACCAACCAGATTTGGCAAAATAAATCCATGGGTATATCATATTACAAAATAAAAGGAAAAAAAAGAAAAGTTTGAGATTGTGATGGGAACATGACCTTTTTGTTCACTAGAAACAGGAGGGGACATAATGTAAATAAGTAACTGTCAGTTGGAATGTGATGACTAGCTTGTGGGGAACATGACCTTCTTGTTCACTAGAAACAGGAGGGGACATAATGTAAATAAGTAACTGTCAGTTGGAATGTGATAACTAGTTTGCGAAATTGAGAAACCGCAAAAGACAAACACTGCCGAGCTAATCAACCACAAGTTGCTCCAAGTCTTAGGTTCAGGGAGAAAGTGCCGAGGAAGACCATCAAGGACCTTCATCAGCGACCACCAGAAGGCAGGAGAAGACCCCCTGGCAACAAAGCAGACATGCGCGGAGAGAGACACCGGAAGGAGGAAGGATGGGGCATAAAAGGGGAACGGAACAACCCTCAGCGCGGCAGTTGGTGGAGCGGGGACTCCCCTGTCGCCCAGCGCTGCAGTTTGCTTTTTCTTTTCTGTAATAATAAATTGGCTTTGAATTGGCTCAGATAGCCTGTTGTGCTCATTTATAACAGAGATATAATCCAAAGCTTATCTGAACTCCACCAAACATTAGTCAGGTGGGAAGTAGGATGGAAACTTGGTCTCAGCCTTAAAAAAGTTTCTACTACCTGCTGGGACTTGCTGCATGAAGGGATGGCACAAACTTTTTTTGCTATTGTTACATTTTTACCTCAGTTTTTAATCAAACTTCAGGCCAGAAGTCCTGTCCTGAGACATGATCAGCAAAGAGTGCTGACTGCAAGGCCAATGCTGGGACATGTGGACAGGAGCTGCACATCTCATCCCTGGCTTAACCTGGACAGATTTCAAGCTCCGAAGTCTGACTTCAACTTTAGCCTCTTCATTGTCTAAACCGAAGCAGAGCAGGTGTTGTTCCACATACCATAAGAAGACAGCTGGAAATGCACAAAGGTGGTGCTGCAATATTTTGTGTACATGGGATTAAAGGTGCATTTGTAAAACAGACAAGAGGTGTGTCTGCCTTTTGGTGGGGTTCTTTTCAGGAGGTATTTTTGTTACTCTTATTCAAAAATTGAGACCTCCATGATGTAAGGGCCATAAGTAATTGCAGTCAGGACTAAAAACTAACCATGATTTGTAAAAAAATAAAAGGGAAAAAAAGAAAAGTTGAGTAAAACAACTGATGCCCCAAGAACTTACATCAATTCAATTGATTAATTTAGGAGGGAAACACCTTAAAGCAGCATTCCAGAGCAAAGACAGATGATGTAGTTAACACACACCAACAACAGTTGCTGACATCCTTACACTGACCAACCTGTCTACCTTCCTAGAGACATTAACATGAAAACCTGAAAAAAGTCATACAGAACTGTTACTTTGAAAAACATTTGTCCACTGAAGTGGGATAGGTTCCCTTTAAAAAAATTGTTAAATTTATTGTGAGTGTTATTCTTAACCAAATGATTCCAGCAGGTCTAAGTCAGAAAAGTAAACAGCTCCCTCTAAACCTTCATCTAATCATGAGCATTTTGCATTAATTGGCAGCAGTTCTGTAACTCTCCAGGGTATATGCCAGATTTCTGGAAGACACTTGATTTTATAATTGAACCCAATTTAACTGAAAAGTAAAAGCTCATTGGCTAGGAAATGGGATAAGAACAGTCTAATCCCTAGAGAAAATAAAGGAGACGCTCAGCTCTACCCAGCTGCTGGAAACTTTAGCTATCACGTGGCATTTGAGAATTCCATTGAGTCCATCTCCAGACTGATTAACGACTCCTCTAACAAGCAGTGAAATCTTAACAAAATAGTTCTTATTGTTCTTACAAGAGAAAACTTCGGAGCCTAAAAATGCAATGAAGATACTTGCAATTTTTTCACTGGCTGCCATGACAGCTGCCTTAGGAAAAGAGTAGAAGCAGCCCAGATTTCTGCAGGCAGGGTACAGCTTTAGAGGTGGTTCTTGTTCAAGTGAGATGTTGAATGAACAGGCAGCAGCATGTTACAGCATTTTAAAGAAGAACCAGAGCTTCTCCTATTAAAAGAGAATGGAAGAACACAGTTGCTAAGTGATGAGGATAAAAGTGGATTACATAGAAGATCCTCTGAGCCATAAACTTCATCCAAAACTGACTGGAAACTTTCCAGTGACTTCTGTAGGACTTCAATAAAACCTGTATAACTTTAATGAACCATTTCAGTCTTTTCTGGCCTTTCTTCATGTAGTATTATGTACTGTTCAAAGAAAAGAGAAGACAACACCACAGTCAGGGCAATTGGTAACAAGTTCCTTATACATCCCCATTGCTCTCAGAGAATACTAATCAAAAATAATATGCACTTGGGAAATTATTCAAACTGACAGCTGCACTGCAATTCTCAGCACTTAGCCTACCAGAGGATCCAGGCCAAGATCACAGCTTGAAAAGAAAGAACAATAAATGAGTATTTCTGAGCTCTCATTCTACCTGCAGGTTAGAGCATCAAATGGGCACTTAAAATTTCCTCATTAATCACTCTGTGGATACTGTCCAATAAAAAGGGTATCTTGCTTTCTGCAGAGGATTAGAAAGGATGATTTCATATGACAGGTAAAGGGACTAAGGTCCCAGGCCTGGCTGAGATACAAATGTGGTAAACTGGCAAGAATATCTCCAGCTTGGAAATTGGAGGACTACTTCTACCTGTGAAGGGACTGAGTTTGCAGATGAATTTACAAGGAGAGCAACAGAAGAAAAAGGTGACCTTTGATGCAGTTTTAAAAGGATAAGATGAAAAATTGGCATTCAACACTGAGAAACTGGATTTTGAGAGTGAGGGAGGTTCCTTCAAGCCCTGTTTTTAAATTAACTCTGTCTAGGAGAACAAATGTCAAGAGACCCACATATTTCAAGTACTTCTCAAGACCATGCTCAATACTAAATGAAAAGCAAATCAAAGTGAGATACCAGCTCCAGCCTTCTGAAATACTGCTACAAAATGCCTTCAAAGAGGATACGAGGGCACCAAGGTGCACAGTGTTCCTTCAGTTTCCTCGGGTCCACTGAGTGAGCATCCAGTCCATCCCAAGAGCAGGGGACCAGAAGTTCCTGTACCGAGATGGGTTTCTGCTTCTCTGAGAAAAGTTTCAATATGGAAATCTGAAAGCTTTCCTGATCCAAGTTACATTGAAACTAATATGGCCCTGTGATAATCAATCTCGTGACAGAGAACTGTCCTATCTCCACTTACTGCACATCTCATGCATTCCAATAAAATATTAATTGTTGATCACACTGATTTAAGTTGTTTACATTAAAATAATATTCCCAATGGAGAGAAAGTAACATTTAACAAAAAATAGGGAAGACTTAGAAAAAACTGAAACACTGTGACCATGAGAGAAAAAGGGATTAGATGCTTGGCTGGACCTTTCCAGATGTTCTTTATCTCAGACTCCTAAGCTGTGTCACTGGTCAAAAGCAGAACAAAGGATTTTAGCATCTTTATGCCCATAGTAACTGTATATCACTGTTTCACTACATAGTGCAATAGATAAGAGATGCTGACAGAAGATGAGAGCAAATACAAAAACATTTTGGAAACATTCTGCATAGTTTTTCTCAGAGAGACAAGAAAAGGAGGGTAAAGACCACAGGAGGAAACACACATACAGAGAAAATAGTGACCACTTAATATTTTCTCTCTGTGGTATATTGACTTTGTATGGATGCTAGGAAGAAAACCTTCCTGTGTCAAGAGAAAGGCAGTTCAATAAAGCAAAAGCAAAGGCTGCACACAGAAGCAAAGGAAAACAAAAGACAATCTTTACTTTCCATGAGCAGATGATGCCCCACTATTTCCTAGGAAGCAGGGTTTCAGCATATGGAGAAGTTGCTCTGCAATAACTAATGCCTCTTCCCTTCCTTTTTATCTTGGCTTTTATGGCTGGGCAGACTCATTTGGTGTGGAATATCCCTTTGGTCAGTTTGGATCAGCTCTCCTGGCTATGTCTCCTCCCAAGATCTCACCCACA